CGGCCCCCCTTCGGGGGGCCCGCGGCTCGGGGCTCATGCCCCGGCGTTCAGCTGCCTCCCCAGGGCCGACGTGTGGCCTTTGGAACAGCAAGCTGAAGCGAAAAACAAGGTCTGAGAACCTGCAACTTGAGAAGATGATGGATACCAGCCCTGCACTGCCTCAGGGAAGAACAGGAATACTCTACCACTCTTGAAGTGAAGGTACTTAATGAGACTAGGACAGTGTAGAATGGGGTAAGTGAAGAGAAGAGGATGGAGAGGGATAGCAGGTGAGCAGTGGAGAGACAGGACGTTAGTGAGAAACAGATGGGGCTTATTTACTGTTGATGATGACATGTATAGAATTCTCAACAGGATTGGTCTGAGAAGTGTTTCATGACGAGTAAAGTATTTTTAAAAAGCAAAACGAGAAACAGCAATTGACTGTTTTATAAAAATAATTAGAATAATAAAGACAATGATTGGGGAAAACAGAAAGGATATGGAATGTTGAAGTGGGGAGATTGATGTCTCTGTACTGACTGGCGTGCATGGCATTCCCTTTTGAGGAAACAATGTAACACACAGTGGAGTTGTATGTAATCCAATGTAATATGAAGAAGATATGATGATAAAAAATAAAAATAAAAAAAAATAAAATTAAATTAAAAAAAGATTACCACTGTGAAATCAGATTCTTTGGACCTGGAGCTGGATTCCTATACTTAATGTATGATATTGGGTATACTACTCAGCAAACTATTGAACCTCAGTTTCTTCATTTATGAGGTGGGAATATCAATAGTACCTACTTAATAGAGTTTTTATGAGAATTAAAAGATTTAATATGTGTAAAATGCAAGTCAAAAATGTGGTCTAAAACAAAGTAACCAAAGTCATTTTTATTTTATATTATGTCAGGTATCATTCTAAGTGCTTTATTTGCTGCATTACTAATGTAGCTCAGACAACTCTAGAAATTCAAAATACCACAAATAAATGGAAAAATATCCATGTTTATAGATTGGAAAAATCAGTATTGTTAAAATGTTCATACTATCCAAAGTGACCTAGAGATTCAATGCAAGCATTTGTGAAATCTGAAAAAGTTAATCAAGGCACCAATGACATTCTTCTCCAACATAAAAAATAAAAATCCTAAAGTTTATACATAACCACAGAAGTTCCTGAATAGCCAACACTTGAGCCAGTCTTTGGCTCAAGATTGAGCCAAAAGAGCAAAACTGAAGACATAAAACTATCTGACTTCAAAATATACTGCCGGGACCAGCAGTTAGCGTAATGGCTATGTCACTGGACTCCCATGTAGTTGACCACGGTTCAAGTCCCGGACCCAGTGGCTTAAACTCTTGCCGGGCATGTGTGCTTGCGTGCCCAAGATCCCGAGAGGAGAATGGAGGAGAATGTGTTGCAGCGTGGCCATCCCCCCTGGGGGGTGATTTCTCACTTTCTGTCTCTGTTTCTCTCTGTCTTTCTGGTGAGCACACATGCCCTATAGCAAAAATCTCTCAAAAAAAAAAATATATATATACACACACATATAAACCACAAAGCAACAAAAACCAAAACAGAATAGCACTGACATTAAAATAGACTAATAGACTAATGGAACAGAGTAGAAAGCCTTGAAACACATTCTTGGATTTACAGCTAATTGATTTTTTTTTTTTTTTTACCAAAGTGCCAAGAACATACAGTGAAGAAAGGACAGCCTCTGTAATACATGGTGCTGAGAAAACTGAATAACCACATGCAGAAGAATAAAACTAAACCACTATCTTAAACCAGTTACAAATATCAACTCGAAATCTATTAAAGATTTACACATAAGACCCCAAAATATAAAAATATCGGAAGAAAACATAGAGGAAATGGTTTTAGGATATTGGTCTGGAAAATAAATTTGTTGAGTAAGATCTCAAAGCAAGTGCAACAAAAACATACATCAAACCAAAGGGCTTCTACACAGCAAAGGAAACAACAGAGTGAAGAGACAAACTATGGAATGTGAGAAAATATTTACAAACTATGCATCTGACAAGGGGTTAGTATACAGAATATATAAGGGACTCAATAATCAACAGGAAAAAAAATTACTCAGCAAATACTTTGATTAAATATAGGGAAAATATGGGGCCAGCAGGAGTACAGAAGTTAAGGCAGCTGGATCCCGTATGGCCAACTGTGCTGTTTAAGTCCTGGACCCAGTGGCTTAAGAATCATGCTGGGCTCATGTGGGTGTGTGTGTTCCCCAAATCCCAAAAGGACTGAGAAATGGAAAAGGGATTGCAGTGTGACCATCCCCCTGGGGACTGAGTTCTCACATTCTCTCTCTCTCTTTCTCTCTCTTTATCTCTGACAAGCACCCATACCCTATAGCTACAAATGACCAATAGATAGAGAAAAAAAGTGTTCAATGTCATTAGTCATCAAGGAAATGCAAATCAAAACCACAATGAAGTATCATCTCACCCCATTAAGATTGTCTATTAATAAAAAGGCAAAAATAACAAATGCTGGTGAGATTATGGAGAAAAAGGAACTCTTAGGCATGATGGGTGGGAATGTGAGTTAGTACAACTATTATGAAAAACAGCCAAGAGTTCCTTCAAAAATCTAAAAATAGAATTACCCTGTAATCCAGCAATTCCACTACTAGGTATATATATATATATATAGTCAAAGGAAATAAAAGTTATTATGTTGAAGAGATGTCTGCACTTCCATGTTTATTGCAGCACTATTCACAATAGCCAAGATATGGAATGAATCCAAGTATCCATCAACAGATGAATGGATAATGAACATTCAGCGTATTTACACAACAGTATATATTTACACAAAATATATTTACATGATAGAATACTATTCAGCCATTTGAAAAAAAAAGGATAAAATCCTGTCCCTTGTGGCAATATGAATAGACCAGACCTAGAGACCATTTTAAGTGAAATAAGCCAGGTATGACAAGATAACTACATGGCCTCACTCATTTGTAGAATCTGAAAAAGTTGAAGTAAAATGGTGTTTACCAGAGGCTGAGGAGGGGAGGGAGGAGTGAGGTTGAAGAGATGTTGATCAACAGGCAGAAAGTTATAAACAGGAGGAACAAGTTCTAGTGTTCTATTGCACCGTAGGGTGACTATAGTTAACAATAATATATTGTTTATTTCAAATAGCCCCAAGAAAGGATTTTTATTTTCTCACCATGAAGAAATCATAAGTGTTTGATGATATGCTAATTATTCTAATATGATCATTATACATTTTAACAAGTACATGTACTGAAACGACCACACCATACTCCATAAAGATGCACAATTATATGCCAATTTTTAAATAGAACATTTTTAAAAAATAGTAACTAAAAGAATAAAGCATTTCCTCTAAAGAAAAAAAGGAAAAAAATAACCCCAGCTCAAAGGGGTAGTTTATATGATCATCTCTACTTTATAGATGCACAAAGAGGTCAAACACCTTGCTCAAGGTCACTGCTACTAAATGGTAGAGATGGAATTTGAACCTAAGCTGAGTCAGCACTCAGCAAAGCACCTAGTACATAGTACAGTGCCTAAAATGTTCATTGTTCCTTGAGGATGTGCCATTTCTATTTTTAAGGGTATCTCAAAATGTTACATGAAGGAATACAAGTGAGAAAGAAGTGGAAGGAGAACTCTTAAGATAACCAATTAATTATAGAATGTGAGGGACCTTAAGACAGTATAGTCTTCATTAATTTCACGTATCTCACTCAACAGCAACTGTGCTGGACCATGGAGACACAGAAGTGAATAAGATATGACCCCTACCCACTGATGCAGAGGAGATGAATATACACACAACCCAAAATACAATGTAGTAAGAGCTATAATACATATTAGCTCAAAGTCCTGAGGAGCCTGCAGGAGGAACAAATTCTACTGAGAGATTATAGAAACTGTTACAGAGAATGGAGCTTCTGTGATGGATTTTGACAGCTGAATAGGAGTTCACTAAGCAGAAAAAGAGGGTAAACTTTCAAGAATGATTCAAAAACATAGTTTGCAAATGCCATGCATTTGTAGTCCTATACCATGAAGCACTCAAATTATAAAAATAATGAGACACAAAATCAGGAGCCAAGACAAATCTCAAGTTTCAAAGTATCCAGGCCCCTACTCTAACACCCTTTCTCATTCTGTTCTTTTGATATTTTCTGCAGACTTCCTTAAAGTTCCCATTTCCCATCAACTCTCAGACTCCTTACTTTTCGTTTTCCGATGGGTAACCTCACAAGCTGGGCCTTTGAATCCAGCAGGACAGATGCAGTCACAGCGTGATTCTGAGAAGACAAGGCAAAGAGTGTGAATCTTACCATGTGGAGCAAAGAACTCCTGGAGCTCAGCCCTCCACATCACTGCATTTCCAGCAGGTTAAAACAGGGCTTATCTTTAGTAGAACAGTTTGTAATAAGCGACGTTCGTGCCAAGAATCCCTTTTCCTTTCTTGAGGGTCCTTTGCTCTTAGAGAGGTATTTATTGCCATCATGGGGAATTGTAAGAAGTTGCTGAGAAAATTCTTCATTAGCTGACATTTGACACATTACAAACTTTTAGGGCCAAAAGCTAAATCAAGGTCACTGAGACACTCATCCTTAATGCTCAACTTCACCACAAGGAATTGTTTAGACTCTGCTTGAATACCTCTAAGGACAGGGAGTAGGACACTCTGAGATGAGTTATCCCACCTTTGGCCAATTCTCATATTTCACAAGAGATTCCATAGGTTACTCTGTAATTTGTCATCATGGAGCTTCTCATCTGGATCACACAGAGCTCTTTACAGGATTGTCTTCCATAGGTCAGGCCCTATGAGCATCAGTCTCCGGCTCTATATTCTCCCTCTAAGACCCAGGTGGGTCCCAACTTCTTGGTCCAAATTTCACACAAGGCAAGGAGGACTTCACCAACCTTGAGGTGATGAGCTCATCCCACTTCCTGTAGAATTGACCCTTACATAGGAGCCTTTGTATCAATTGCAGGACTCCTGGCCATAAGCACTCACTGTGTCTGCTTTGTTTATTATATCCCTCCTGTCTGAGAAAACTAGAAACAGATCCCTCAATCCTAGTCTGGCAATGGAATTTTTCTCCCTAAGAATATGTCTTTCTGTGTCCCCTAAGCTGAGCTTGCTCCATCCACTTGGGCCTTGCAATGACTCCAACTGCCTCTCTGGGCTGGGTCCTGCTGTAACAGGTTGCTCCTGCTTCCCTGTATTGGGTGCTAGACTCTTTCTCAGAGTCTTGGTAGCCATACAACAGGAATATAAATTCTCAGGTTTCTGCTTCTCCTGGTTTGTTCTGTCTAGTGCAGTGACCCCAGACATAACTCTCAAAGTTGGTAATCAAATTCAAATGACCCGCCCTTGCTGTCACCCTCCCAAATCTTTTCATCATGTAGTGGTCAGAATATACACAAGGGTTTCTCCTGCTTAGCCCAGTCTCCCCCTGATCAAGAGAGGGTCCCTGTGTCTATCCACTCTCTGCTGCAGACCACACAGTCTCAGTCTGCTCTTGTCTTTAGTTTAATGCTGCTGTTTCCCTGTGATCCTTGGGGCTGGAACTTACACATCCCAACAGCCAGAGGAGTATGTCCTAGCTGCCTGCAACCCAAATTCTTGGGAAATAGAGGCCAGCAAACAGCAGGCCCTCAAGCTACTCTCCTCCAGATGATGGCTCCCACAATGGACACCAGCTGCCTGGAAGTGGTACCTTTCAAAACAGGCACTCCATTCCCTTGGCAGGGAGCACAGTGGCAGGAGCTGGTTTCCTTCTGGAACTCCTCCAGGGCCCGCTTCATGTTCTCCTTCACTGTGCTGGAATACGCAAAGTCTGTGGCTGTCACCAGTTCATACAGAGGCTCCACCTGAGAAAGGACAAAAGCATTGTTCTCGAGAGAAAATATACAAGGCAAAGCATAAATCCAGACTACACGGGAATGGGTCAGGGGTCAGAGCTTGGAGACGATGTGTAGATTCAGGTTGACTGAATGGATGCCCCATCCTCTCTCCAACTTCCACCACTCATATACACAAATTAGCTCATTCAAGTACAGTCAACAAATATTTACTGAACATACACTAGTTTTAGGCATTAAGCATAAATATTGAGGAAGATATTGGGTCGTTAGGAAAGTCATGACACATTTTTTTTGCATAGAAAAATACAGCATGACTTTTCTGGCAACCCAATAAAATACCTTTGAAGGATCAGAATCTAGAGATAGAGACACATCCACCAGTAGAAGACTCTGGGTGATTACAGGCAACAGTGGAAACTTGTAAAGAAGAGCCAGTGAGATGTCGAAAGGAGTGTATGGGTGGGTAGAGGAGGTATTCTTTTCAACAAGTTTTTGGGAGTGCCCCAACATCACTCCCCCACCTCAAAATTGTTCGCATCAGGCAAGACCCACCATCATAAAGCCTTACTGGAGTTCAAAAACTTAGGGTTCATCCTTTTCCATGAAACACTCAGGATACCATCAGCATTATTCAAGGGATATGAATTCTATGCTTTTGATTGCTCCTTTATGATCATTAATTTTTTTTCATGTGAAGTCTTTCTTCTCTGATTTGATTGTAAGCACCTGGAGATCAGGGCTATGTAGGACTCAGCTCTGGGCTCTGGCCCCCAGTGTAGTGAGTAAAGTGAATGATGGATGGAGGTGAGGTGGAAGGCCTCATTAGGGCAACAGAGGAGAAGGAATAGCTGTCTGAAACAGCAGCAGAAAAAGCAGGTGCTGGTCACTCAGTAGTCTTGGCCATAAGGCAGAGATGGATGGTGTTTGCGTGTCAGAAAAAAAAAAAAGAAGCATGGTCCAAAGAGGTAGTTAAACATGTTCAGCTCCTCTTGGCTCAAGTTTCAGCTCCAGGGCCAGGTTCCTCTCCAGATTTTGTCTGTGTTCCCGCCCTAATCCAGCCCTGGAGAGTTTAGGGTTTGTCTAAATGCAGGCAATCATGCCTAATAGAAGCCTCCAGTGGGAAGAAAATTGCTTCCATTTCTTAATGCATCTGATGCTGACCTTCGCTCCAGTGGGCCAAGCAAGGCCCCTTGGTGGTCTCATTGTCTTGTTTCTGTGGTCAATGAATTGATCCAGAGGCTGTTTGCAGAATCCTCTAACTTGCTGGCCACACATGGGGAGGGAGTTGGGACAGAAGAAAGGGGGAGCTTGCTTCACACCAATAAAGAGTACCTCCAACAACCTGCTTTTGCTCTGGAGCACCTTGAAAGGCTGCTTTTCTCACCCAGACATTTTCCTACCAGCACCGAGATTTGTTCTGGGATGCATAACAAGTCAATAGCTGGAATAAACCCAAGACATACACTGTGTTCCAGGAGCTGTCTGAAGCCTTAGAATATGAGCCCATTTCATGCTCACAAGGTAGCAGTTGTTAGCCCTGTTTTCAGATGAGCTTAGGTAACTTGATTGAGCTCATGCAGGTCATAAAATCACGTTGCCAAGATTCTAATCCAAAGCTGTGTTTTCATGATTATTGATAAAGGTGGATTGACAATTCCCACTTTCTTTCCACTTGTATCCCAGGGTTCTCCAGATTTCTCAGACTGGTTTGCCTTGGGATTTCACAACCACTCCTCAGGACACTACAGCTCTGTTTTTAACTCCATATGGTGCATTTCTCTTTTCTTTGGTTTACTATTCTTTCTTCCTCCCTCTTTCTTTTTCTCTTTTTTTTTCCTCCATCTTTCTCCCTGCTGCCCTTTTCACTCACATTTGATCCTTAGCACATCTGATCTTGTGAAAAATTCATCTTATTCTAGTAAAAGGTGGTAGGCACTGACTATTAAATGTCATGCAATTCTCTATAGCACTCTCCAGAGCAGACCCTGATATTCCTTCTTTTCTTTCTTCTTTCTTTCTTGTGAGACAAAGGGATAGAGAGAGGAGAAAAGGGAGACAGAGATGGTATTTTTGACAGGGTCTTTCTGTGTCTTGATCCCCCTGCCTCAGCCTCCCAATTAGCTATGATTACAGGCCCTCCCAATTGTGCCTGGTGTGTTCTAACTGGCTGACGGCCTGAACCTGGGCCTCCTGTGCAGTTTTCAGCCTCCTGATTGGGTGGTGCTATCTATATGCCCCTACCATTGAGATATCTGATACTCTTATTGATAAAAAACAACTGTTAGCACAGCTAGCATTTGTTATGTGCTGAACTAAGTACTTGATGTTTATTGTCTATGTATAATTATATATAATCTTCACAATAATCTTACGAGTTAGGTATTCTGCTTTTCCCCATTGCACAGGTTAAAAAGCTGAAGCATTGAAAATAAAACAGATTGACAAGTCACACAACCAGCAAATGGTTCAAAAGGACTTTAAAAACTGTTTTCTTTTAGTATTTTACGTTTTTTCTTTTTTGCTATGGGGCACATGCACTCAGAGGAGACACAGAGAGACAGAGAGACAGAAGCGAGAAATATCCCCCTAGGGGAGATGGCCATGTCACAATCCCTCCTCCTCCATTCTCTCAGGATTCTGGGCATGCACACACACACACTTGGTGTGAGTGTTAAGTTTCCAGGTCTGGGATTTGAATTGCGGTCAGCCAGGTGGGAGTCCAGTACCTTAACCACTCCACCACCTGCTGGCCCCAGAAATTTTATTTTTGTTGGATAGGTAGATGGAAAAATTATTTAAACCAAATCAGTGGTAGATTTTTTTGTAACATTGTAATATGTGCTTCCTACACAGCTCAATATTCTTTGATAAAATGGCTTTTCATGGGGATCAGCAGATGAAGTGATGGTTACGTCACTGGACTCCCAATTAGTCGACCATGGTTCTAGTCCTGGATCTGGTGGCTTAAAACTCATGCCAAGTGTATGTGCGTGCATGCCCAAAATCTTGAGAGGAGAAGGCATTGGCTCGTGCCCACCCCCGGGGGGCGGTCGCTTTCTCAGTTTCTATTTCTCGGTGTCTCTCTGACTTTATGGCAAGTACATGCACCTTATAGCAAAAATCTCTCTTAAAAAAAAAAGTTATTCATGGCTTCAGAGAGTATCCTACTGTATGGGTGAACTATAATGATTGAATTCTTCTGTTGCTGAGCTTTTAGAATATTTCCCTCTCTTTTTTCCCTTTGGCTACTACAATAACAAGTGTATAAAACATGTCTTTATACATTACAACTTTACCAAATTTTGAAAATATTTCTTTAGTAGCGTCTTAGATTTGGTGTGATTGGATTAAAAGCTATAAATCTTTCTAATGGTTTGGGTATTCCTGCTTAATTTTTTTCCCTAGTGTTGTACCAAATTATATTCTGATCCCATTTTATAAAAGCATTCATCTCATTACTCTCAGTGTCACTGCATACTGTAGGTTTTCATCATGGTCAATTTGATAGGTAAAAATTAACACCATGTTGTTACTTCTATTTCTACTTTTTATTAGAAAGGTTAACATTTTTGCTTATTTATTAGCCATCTGAAGGGTAACCATTTCCTTTGAGATTTTTTTTTAAGTATATCGTTCCTCATATATTAAGGATTTTATGATGAAATGATTTTTTGGTGTGTTATTTGCCATTTTATTATATTCATGGTTTCCTTATTTGAAATTCAGAATTTATTTTGAGGGAAAGATCTCTCAGTGTAAATCCAGGCAGGCAAGTGCTACTGCACATCTAAATTTTATATTGTCTTGGGTCAATTGGTGGCATGGTGGTTAAGGTGGCCAGAACCCATGTGACCAACTATGTGGTTCAAGTCTCAGACTCAATGGCTTGAGAAACATGCTGGGTACATGTGTGTGCTGGCCCCAAATCCCCAAAAGACTGAGAAATGGAGAAGGGATTGCAGTGTGGCCATCCCCTATGGTGGGTGCTTTCTCATTTTCCCTTTGTCTTTCTGTCTCTTTCTGGTGAGGGCACGTGCACTCTAGTAAATTAAAACAACAATAACAAAGACCTTCTCTTGGTCAGAGTAATTTGCATTTATTTATGTATTTATGTATTTATGTATTTATTTATTTATTTTTGGAGAGGTTTTGTTTTTGTTTTTGTTTTTGTTTTGCCTCCAGGGGTGTTTACTCACCAGAAAGACAGAGAATGAGAAATCACTCCAGGGGGATGGCCATGCCACAATCCCTTCTCCTCCATTCTCCTCTCAGGATCTTGGGCACACACACATGCACCTGGTGTGAGTTTAAACCACTGGGTCCGGGACTCAACTACTTGGGAGTCCAGCAACATAGCCATTATGCCAACTGCTGGTCCCACCAGAGTAATTTGCTTTTAGAAAAGTGCCATGGTCATTATTACTACATAACTAGCATTTTAGCTTCTTTTCCTTCTGGGCATATGGTAGGGCTACAATTACTGTCTTCCTTAAAGGCAGGTTTGCAACATGACCTTGTTTTGACCAGTGAAAAGAGAGCAGAAGTACATGTCAACTTCCAGGTTGAAGCTCTCAGGGCAAAGTTAGGGGACATGCCCCACTAGCTTAATCACTATCACAGCCATCTTGGGAACACATGATGAGATAAAGCCCCATTATCTGGCTCCCTGAGTGACTACTTCTAGCAAAACCTTCTGATCAACACAGTTCGGACATGTGATATGACTGTGAAATCACTCTTGCTTTTCTGATTTTTTTTGTGATTTGAGGGTTATTTCTCTATAACATGGCTTAGGCTATCCTGGTCTCTGTGAACACTTTTCACTACTGTAATATTCCCCTTATACCCTGGGCAATGCCAATAATCCATACAAAGGCTTCTCCATCATCCGGATTCCAGCCTGCAACCAAGCTATCCTGACTAGTATTGGAATGTTCACGAATGCCAGACTTCATCACTAGGATTTCCAGTTAAACACAGGGTATCCATTTACATTTGAATGTCAGATAAACAAATAATATTTTAGTATAAGTATGCCCCATACAATATTGAAGAAATGTTTATACTAAAAGATTATTTATTTATCTGAAACTTAAGTTTAACTAAATATCCTGTATTTATTTTTTTTCCCTTTGGGTTTATTTATTTCATGAGAAAGAAAGAGACAGAGACAAGCACCCACAGAGTCCCATGCCTCAATTACCTTTACTCCCACCCACTCCTCCTACTCAACCAACATCATGGGCACTTGCTCCCAGGATTTGACCTGGGAACCCAACCCACAATCTTCCATATGATCCAGCATCGTTTGAGTGGCCTATCGCTATGCCACTGAGCTGACTCCCCCTAATTCATCGGCTAAATTTGGCAACACTTTTTGTGATCCTTTAATGTCTCAACATGTCTTTGAAACTCTTTGCTCATTAATGGCCATTTCTCTGGACCACAAGCTTTTCCTCAGCGTTCTCTCTCCATTGTCTTTAGGCATTTCAGGGTGCAAAGAATTCTAAGGCCAGTTGGACTATTCCTGTCAGAGATATTTGTGCCAAAAAGGAAAACATTTCACCAGGATGCATTTCAGGATGGCTTTGTTTTAAAGCCTTTGCCCAGTCTTCAATAAGCTGTTCATTTTGCATTCTCCATTCAGGGTCCTTTCTCTTATAATGTGCTTTATTTATGTCTTCACATTTAATCTTGTCTCTTTCTCAGAAAAAAATCTCTGTGTTTTAGGTTTCTACTTCTGTACTCTCTGTCCATCATATTTCTTTTCCATCATTGTTTTAATCATTTTGTCTTTTGCTTCCTTGTCTTAAGAACGTTTTTATAGCACCTTCCACATCACTGACTCAATTTTCTGCAGTGTCAGTTCTGTTCTTTATAGTTTCCGATGTGGATTTTAATTCTGCTACTGTGCTTTTGGTTTCTTATACTCAGCCACTTCCTTTTTCACCTGATTAGTGTCTAACCATCTCAGCTTCTATTTTTTATTTCACAAATTCCTCATTTTCTTGAATTTTCGTATAATCACAAAGCAAACATATTTTAAAACATATGTCTGTCTCCGTATTTTTAAAAGATATGTTCATTTTCTGCATGCGGAATGTAATTTCAATCTTTTGTGCTCAAAAATTGCTTTATATGTCCATTGCTGTCTCTTTCTCTTCTTTGAACAAAAACTCACCTTTCTGTGCCTAAAGTTTACCAGTTAATAGTTCTTTTGTCGTCTCCTTCCCTGCCTACCTGGCTTCTATGGAATCATGCTTTGGAACCTGCTCTGGAGGACTGATTTATGCATTTACACCTTGGACAACAATGTGTCTAGGATTTGCTTGTCTGTGGGAGATGCTGTCCTGCAAGGCAGCCATTGCTCTAGCTACCTGGTAAGCTGCCCTGCACAGGAGGATTATCTCAAGATGATGTGAAGCCATCAACAATTTTGTCTTGCCGAGAAGAGTACATGAAGGAATGAGACACCTTCATGCATATGTTTCCAATGATGGGAGGGAGGGGCAGAGGTGCACACGTGCTTACAGCACTCCTGCTCCAGCACTCCTGCAACACTCCTGTAAATACCTCTGAATCTCTAACATGCCTGTCACATTCTCTGCCTCCAGGAAGGCGCTTTCTACCTATCTGAGTAACCAGAGCATTCCCTTGGTTCTCAATTTCAATTTAAAAGAAATGGCGGAAAAAAGAAACAAAAATAATTAAAAGGTAAGATATCTCAGCAAAAATTAAAGACTAAGGATCTCTTTTCTCTTGAACTCTCTATTCTGTCCCATGCCTATCTGTGGTGCCAACTAAGGTTACCCTGGTGTTAGTCAAGTCCATGCTTTTCTAGAGTTGCCTACAAACCGCAGTTGAGTTTATCCTTCCAATAGCCAGCAAGCATCACTACTGTGTAAGTGTAGAGGACAGGAATTGAATGGCAGCCCTTCTTATTCTGCAGAAGCCATGCATTTTACACACAAATAAAGATACTGTAGAAAACTGCCAGGCTTGAGGACTACATATTCTCTGTCACGGCCCCAGTCCCTCCACCTCTCTCCTTGACTCCAGGGGGTGGACAATTGGCCCATCAATGACTGGCATGAAGAGGCTGGTATGCGACATGCTGTGGGCATCGTGCAGAAGTCCCCACAGGCAAGGACCTATGATTGCTGATGTGCATGACAGTCCTGTTCCAACACATGTCTTTTTAGCTTAAGGTTGTGAAACTTCTCTTGTTAGGGTGACAGGTGGTTGGGATTATTATTTTTTTACTCACCAAACCCACAGGAAAATCTAGAGAGGAAGGAAGAATTCAAAGTCTCTTGTCTGGACCTAATAGAGACTTGAGCAGCCACAAATGGATACAACCTCTTTGACCCTTGATTTTTATCGGTCACAAAATAGAAATAGACCTCATTTGCGGACTGTTGTGAGGATGAGACAAAATAACATTCTGGAAGCTCCTGGCAGAGTGTCATGAATATAGTAGTTGTCAAAAGTCTTAATTATTATCATGATGTCTTATCTTGTCCTAAGCTTATTATGCATGTATCTTTCTGTTCATCCTAGATGGTATTTTTTTATCCTTGCATTTTCTCCTTTTCTTCCAGTACTCACCTTCTTATAACACAGCAGGAACTTAGCAACTATTTATTGGTTCAATGCATGAATCTTCCAGTGAACAAATAACTGAATGAGTGATTCTCTGGTGAAGTGCAAAGAGTATTAATTTAAGACGATTAGAATTAGAAGCGGCCTGTTAATTTCCTTTAGCAACTTGAGGCCCAAAGGAGAGGGAGTCAGGGATCTCTAATAGAGTGTTGTAATCAGTTATAATCTATTCATTCCAGTTATATTTCCCATCATAATATACATGCCTCAAGATTAGGGCTGAGGCTTATTGATCTCTGCATTCCATACCTGGTGCTCAGGAAACCCTTTGAAGATGTTTCTCAATAGAAGAGAGGATGGGTAGAGCAACTGCATGTACCTTAACTTTGACAATTGCCGGGTTGTACTGCACTGCGTCTCCCCACTCCTGCATCAGGTCTGCAGTGGGCAACTCCTTGTATGCCAGGGTAGTGATATGCTCACTCGCCCCTCCTCGTACAAGGACCACCAAGTCTTCCACCATGGTGTTCCTCTTGCGTCTGTCTGGAATGGATACAGACAGCTGGCATGTCAACAGAGAATCAACTTATACACCTCGGGATTTACTGCAACCAACCAGCAGTTTGGTTACCACAATATTCACTAAGTTTGCCTGGAAGACATGGGTGGACAAGACGCATCCTTGCCTACAGAGAGTTCATGGTGCATAGGGCAAAAGGGAAGCTCGCCCCATCATTTAACACAAGTTGGGGGCAAGATAAGAAAGGACTATCTATCTTGAGCATTTATAAATGCCAGTCACTGAGTGAGTCTGCAGAAGAAAGACAAAGGATAGATAGAAAGGAAGAAATGCAGGTAGGTAGGGAGATGGAGAGATGAAGGTAGGCAGAGAGATGGGTAGGTAGGTAGATAATAGAAGGCAGATAATCACTAGCTAGGTACTGACTTGGATAGGGGATACTTTACAAATCTTCTTTTAAAGAACACCGTATTTTATGCACATTTCCCTATGTCTGAAGCATCTTTCAACCCAACCCACCAAAATGAATAGTATCAAGTCAGTCACGAGAATAGGAGGTCATTATAGACTAGAGGTTCATTTTTGTTGTTATTTTGGTTTGTTTCAGCTGTGGAATTCTTTCTTCGCATGAAATCCTGGGTATAAGCTTAGTACGTGAGCAGATAAAGGCAGAACTACTAGGGGTGGAAAGGGGTGAGGGCTTGGGGTGCTGCTGCTCAGCCTCTGTCTTACTCCACTTGCTGTGCTGATTCTTAACCCCCTGTATTGCTACCAAGTTTCCTGCCCCAGAGACCTAGCTGTACACTCTGCTCCAAGACCCATCATGGGTCTGGTCTTTCCTGCCATTTGGACTCTCATAAATTGTAGCTTTGCCTGCTCATCTAGTCTGCATATAACCCACTACCTCAGGTAAGCACTAGCCTCCTCCACTTGCCTTCCACAGAGCCTCCTACCTCCAACCAGGCCATCTCTCAGCTCCAGAGTGGAGTTACATGGTTAGGTCATTGGCTTTTCCCCTGCTCAAAATCCGACCTCCATTTTTTACTCCTCAAGTTGCATTTCACTTATTTCCTGAGAAGTCAGCTCTGGGGCTCCAGACAGGACTTGCCTTTGCTATTTTATTTTATTTTATCCTAATTTTATCTATGATGGGGTCTTGCCATGTCATGGGCCTCCTGCCTCAGCTGCTAGCTGAGGTTTACCACCATGCCCAACTCCTTTTAGATAGGTTTACCCTATGTTGCCCACATCAGCCTTCAGGTTGCAATCATACCTCAGGCTCCTGAGTCACTGGGATTACGGACACAAGCCACTGCACCTGGCTTCTAGGTTGGACCAGGAATCAAACCAAGACCTCCCAGGTGGTTCTAGCCTGCTGGGCACAGTCCTATGTGTGCCACAATGGTGGCTGCCATTGCTACTTCAATTGTTGGCGACCTTACGGGGACACTACTTGGACAGGAATTCAGTCTTACTCATTTTTGCATATTCAGTGTGTGTGTAAGCTTAGAATTTTTTTGGATAAATTATTGCTATAAGTAAAATACTCTGGAATATTCAGTTATTCAACTAAAGAAAGACTGGAACTGAGGAACACTAGGGAGAGAAAGATTAGGAGCAGATAAGTAACATGCCCCTGCCACTCACCATTGATTTCTTTCAGAATACCCTCGCATTGGCTCGCCGACACACCTAGCTTGGCATAGACCACTTTGATGGCAGCCCCAATGTTAAAACCAGCTTGGGCACAGGCATGGATGTTGCTAAGAGAATAATCTGAAGAAAACAAGACAAGAGGTTCATGAGCTAAAAGGCAATTCACTCCATCCTCTTTCCTATGGTCAATTCTAGAGGCCTAATTTTTCCTGGTTCTCCATTGGGTTCAAATGAATGGGTCACCAGCCTCATGACAGCAAATGCAGGCCAATATTGGAACCAGGGCAGAGACCTTACAGAGATCACACTCAAGTTCTTCTTTCAGACTCCTAGCAGGACTCAGAGGTTTTTTGCTAAAGGGGAAAAGTGCTCAGAGTCATTTTCTAAACATTGGGTTCCTTGTCAAGTTTCTAGGGATAGATCCAGTGAAGACTGCAACTACTGTCATCAGCTTGCCTTCCCGTGACCCACACTTTCTCCACTTCTGATGAAGTAGAAAACACTCATTAGGTACTTGAGCTAATGCCTGTAAAAAGTCCGATGCAGTATCTGGCAAAGAAGAGGGGCCAATTGCTGTATTTCTCTTACATTTTTGGACTGCTTCCCATTTGTCTCCTCCCTAATCCTCTCTGAAGCATGCTCCTTGCTTGGTCTTGCTAAAATCTCAGCTATAACTTGCAAGCACTTTCTGTAGCGCTTTGAGGCCAGTTCAAGGAGAGGAGAACCGCATTGACTACGAGGGTTGTCTAGTAATGTCGCTGCAGACAGGTTTTTTCCAAAGCATATTCCTTAAAACATGAATCTCACGAGATATTAGCAGGTGTTCCAAGGAAGAAAAGCTTCTATGGGCAAGTAAGTGTGACAAATGTTGTATCAAAAGAGATGGAGAGGTTATTTAATTGCAGTATGCTCATGGCACTTCAAGAGAGTGAACCATGATGCCTTTTTTTCTGACTTGTGGGATCACAGAGCCCTTTTGTAGGAAGCAGTTTAAGGAACTACAAAAAGCACTTTGAAGCCACTTTTATGTAGGAAGGTACTTCTGATGTTGGCAAGACTGAGGCCGCACTGACATACATTCACCTTCTATTCCACATGTCCTTTTGCTAGTACACTGGACTTGTAACTAAGCTCGGGCTCTGCCACTGTAATCAGTATGACCTAGAGCAGTCCACACAACCCATCAAGTGCCATGTTGTTGGAAAGAATAATGGATTTTAAAACAGGACTCACACTCCAGATTGTACCTGGGCTATCTGTATGGAGGATGAATTACAGGAAAGCAGCGGAGATGGAATAGTTTGGAGATCATGGCTATGATCTGAGAGTATGGCTGTCACTTAATATCACCTCAAAACTTGCTAGCAATGCAGACTCTTGGGTCTCGCACCAAACCTACACAGAGTTTACCACCTTCAAGATTTGTACACGATTCACATTTAATTTTCAATGTGAAGCACTAGCTAGAGGGTGAATCTACTGTGATAATAGTAAACATAGAAAATATAATTTTGAGGTAGATCCGATGGGACTTGCTAATAGATTGGAAGGAAAAAAAAGTATCAAGGCTGACTCCTGGGTTTTTGACTTGAGACACTGACTGGATGGTGAAGCCATTTCTGAGATATGGATGACAATGCATAAAACAAATCTGCAAAAGAAAATAAAAATTCTCTTTGGAGGTATGTGAAGTTTGTGTTGATTGGTAGAGATTCAAATGTAGATATCAAAGAGGCATTTCAGCATACACCATTGGAAACAGGGAAGAGATCGAGGATGTATAATATAAATTAGGAGTTACCTGCATGCTGAAGGCATTTAAAACCTTGAGACTGAATATAACTGTCTAGAGACAGGTGCTGTAGAAAAGAGAAGGGCAGGACAAAAGGCTAGGCTGGGAAGGACTGATATTTATAAGCCAGAAGGAGGAAGAGGAGGAGGAGGAAGAGGAGGAGGAATCTGTAAATGAGACTGTGAAGGTGTAGTCAGATAGAAACAATTAGGTTGTCAGAAAAGTCTTGATGTGTGGTTTTTTTTTTTTATGGAAAATGCATCATGTCTTTCCCGACAACCCAATAGAAGCACAGAGCTGGCTCCATGGCCTGGTGGTTAAGGCAGCTGGATCCCACAACTGCATGGTCCGAGTTCCAGATCTGGTAGCTTGAGAAATATACCAGGTGTGTGTGTTTATTCTCAAAATCCTGAAAGGAGGGAGAAATGAAGGAGAGGAATTTTGGCGTGGCCATTTCTCGTGGGAGGGTTTGGGAGGGGGTGGGTGTGTTTTCTTCTCTCCCTCCTTCTCTCTTTCTCTCTCTGGTGAGATTATGAGCCAACTAGCCAAATAAGTAAATAAAAAAGAATGGGGAAAAAAACAAACAAACAAAAAAATCAGAAGCACAGCTTAAGACTCTTTGACACCAAACTTAAGCTTCTCCCCACCAACGCATTGTGCACATGTGTCATGTCAGAAAAGCAGTGGTTCCTTGGGAAGTACCTGCATTCTCCATGGCCTCCTTGTTTATAACGAGCGTGTATTCATAGATGCCCCCAAGCACAGCCTCTGTGATGTAGTGAGTCCCAAAATCGCGGAAGAGATCTCTGTACTCCCCATAGCCGTACTCCAGGGGCAGCCGCTTGACTCTCTGAAAGAACTCGTAATGCAGCATGAGGTTCCTGGATTTCAGCTTGTAACGTGCTACTTCAAGGTCAGAGCGTGCATGCAGAAATACACTTTTCTAAATGAAATACCAACATGGGAAAACCAGACCTTTAAAATTAGGACTCTGGAACAAGAAGATGAACTTTCCAAATACCATCTGAAGTTCGTGGCCCGGGTCATCACTCTTACGATTCCTCTAGGATACTTATGGTAAGATGGCCTCTTTGACAAGCTTTCAATTCTCATCAACATTCTTATATCCTTTGCAACTGGGAAGAGCTTGCTCTGAATTTCCCTCCTTCCTGTGGCGAATAAGGACTGGGAAGGGTAACCAGAAAAAGATGAGGCAAGGAGCAGGTGGAACTCATAAGGCTGCTCTGACGAAATACAGGGTTTGCTAACTCTAAAGGCAACCTCTTCCCTTATGCCTTTAAACTCTGTGAAGAAAAGCCACCCAAAAAAGAGTGAAAGTGGTGCTTTAGGAAGGCTGAGCAGTGTGTGGCAGGAGCCAGCAGACTGCAGCCTACACACCACATCCAGTGCCTGGTTTTGTAAATAAAGTCCTATTGGTACACAGCCATGTCCACAGCTGCTATCACCTTAGAATGGCAGCGTTAAGTGATTACAACAGAAACCCTGTGATCCCACGAAGCCCAAAATATATAATAGCCTTCAGTGTATGAGATAGACTGAAAGTCAGTAATGCCAGATGAGGTATAAACATGTAAGAGGCAACCTGAGGTTGGAAGTAGCCATAGGAATAGGACAGCGTGGAAATGTCTGTGTGGCACATTATGCCCCCATCCTGAAACCTCAGCTCTAAGAAGCCAGGAGCCATGCCAGCTCTGCTTATGTCTATTTCTGGCTCTGCTCACCCCATTCTATTGTGTCGTTGGGAGGTCATGATGTGTTTTTGCATAGAAAAATATACTATGACTTTCCTGATGACCTAATATTAATAGTTCTGCCCCAGTGCCTCATGACTCTTCTCCTGTATCCTTCCTACCTAGGCAATCATGAATCCTCAATTCAATATTTTTCCAGATGTTTTAGGCTGCATCTTGTCTTGCATGGGTTATCATAAAAGCTTCTCTACTGTTTGTCACTTTTTTGTTTCTCTAATGTGCCTTCCAAGACCCCATGAGGGTCACCATCTTAAAACTCTAATAATATTAGGAAAATGCTCCTCTTAGTGTAAAACAAAACCCTTCATTGCTCACTACTGCCTTCAGAATAAGACCGATTCTCAGATCAGCCCCCTGACCTAGTGATTAAGGGAGCCTGATCCCATATGACTGACCTTGCAGTGGCACTGGCTACTTGAAAAATCTGCCAGGCATACCGGGCGCATGTGCTTGTTTGTCCAGTTCCCAGCAGGATGGAGAGATGGGGGAGAAGGGCCCGTGGTGTGACTGCACGGCATTGAAGGGTACTTTCCGTTTCCCTCCCTCTCTATCTCTGTCTTTTCAGAGAACTCGCCTGCCTTCTGGCAAATTAAATAAATAAATAATTTCTTGAACTCGACTATATGCCCTTTACAATCTGCCTCCCAATGTGCCCTCTGGTTCCAAGCTCCACAAGCTGACATTTTGCTCTCTATCCTTTATGCCTTTCTACCAACCAATGTATCAGCATTCACGCAACTTGGCACTGCTCTTAAAAGCTGCCATTATCTTTCATGATGTCATTTTGCACATGCTCGTCTTTCACCCTGAAATGTTCTTCCCTCCCTTTTCCTCCCTGGCACATACCTCCTTACTTTTTAAATCCCCACTTAGTCATTGTCTCCTATTTGATATCAATCCTGAATATCTTAGACTACTCCCTTTTTAGGGTCACATTTTTTCTTTATAGCACATCCCTGCTGTATTACCACTGATATAAAAAGTTGAGAATGATTTATCTCCTTTCATATTTACTTCTCCTACTAGACTGGCTATGAAGGCCTTTTAGTCCTGCGGCTCTGGTGGAATGCCTAGCACCCTGTAGCTGGCCATTTGAATCAGGGTGGTGGGGAAAGGGGAGGAAGGGAGAGAAGGAGAAAGGGTGAAAATAAAGAGAGGGTGCCCTTTGTTTTCTTTCCTAAGGAACTGATCTTATCCTTCATCATCACTTCCGTTTCATCAAGAACACCTACTAAGTGTCATTCTGAATCTACAGATGAAAGAAGCAGCCTCTGTCCTCAGGAACTCACACTTAGAAGATGAGGAAGGATAAAGAAAGACGATTACAGTCTAATTCATGTTTCCCACCAGTTTCCGCTGATTAATATTTGCACCAGAGAAATTCTGAGTCTCTCACCTTCTTTTCTCTATGACTTGCTATAGATTTTCAGTCTTGTTCTCTCCCCTAGCCCCCTCTGATTAAGTTTCCATCACATCATACCCAGGTTGAGCCTTTCTCAGTGACTAGAGAATGAGACACCTTCCTCACCCTGGAATTCATGCTTCCTCAAATCTGCTTGTCACCTGCTTCTCCAACACTGTACCCCATGGCTCCCTACTCTAATGAGTACTCTCTTACTTTCACTAAATCACAACTTTGATCTTTACCTCTGGAAAATAGGGAGCTATGGTGTGATTGGATTAGTATCATAGAAACATATCTCTGGCAGCAGCGAGCTGTGAGACAGGAGACCATGGAGGAGAGGAGAGCAAAAGATGAAAGGCCTGGATGGATGGAGACATAATGAGGATTAGAATGAAGAAGTTCTGGGGCCAGCCGGTGGCATAATGGGTAAGGGCATTGGACTCTCACATGGTTGACCACCATTTGAGTCCTGGACCCGGAGGCTTGGTTTCTCGCTTTCTCATTTTATCTCTCTCTCTGTCCCTTTCTGGTCAAAATTGAAAGAAGGAGAGAGAGAGAGAGAGAGAGAGAGAGA